GCGGTGTGGGGGGCAGGGGTCTGGGGAGGGCAAGCGGGGCAGCCCCGCTGTCCTCGGAAGGCTCCCGAGAGGAGGAAGGTTCCCCTGTGGGGCAGCGCGGACCTCCACTGCTCCCCGTGATCCCACACCGCAGGGGAACCACGGCCCTGGGTGCTACGTTCCCAGAGCGTGTGGGAGTGAGCTGAGCTCTCGTGTGTGGCGAGTGCTCCACAGGGAGAGGGAGAGAGGGTGGATCTGAGGGCTCTGGAGCAGGGAAGGCCCGTGGGGCAGTGCCCTTCGCTGGACTCCTTTCACCTGATGCTGTCTGTGCCCTGGCAGGAGATGGTGTTTTATTACTACAGCAACCGTAGCATCCCTGTGGGCCGTTTCCGGGACCGGGCGCGGTGGCAGGGGGACACGTCCCGCTGGGACGGCTCCATCCAGCTGCAGGACGTGCGGGTGAATGACAGCGGCATGTATGTGTGTGAGATCCGGCTGCTCCAGCGCAGCAGCATCTTGAAGAACCACACGGTGCTGCACGTCAGCCCCACGGGACAGAGAGGTAGGTGCCCCGTGACGGCTCCCATCTCCCGTCACCCTGCTCGGCCCCATGCAGAGGGGCTGCAGAGGCTCTGGGAGGCTCTTGGTTAGTGTTGAGGTCCTTGTGTGTCCCATCCCCTGCCTTGGTGTCTCCCCAGCAGGACGAGGAGCAGCAGGCGCCCAGGACCCTGCAGCCCCGGGAGACTCTGGGCTTTGGCCCGTGACTGTGGGCTGTGGCTGCGTGGCCGTTGTGCTGGCTTTCCTGGCCGGGCTCAGCCTGAGGAAGAGGTACCAAGGCTAGCTGTGGGTTTATGGGGCTGAGCAAAGCACCTCCTTGCAGCCTTCCTGCACTGCTCTCCCTGCCAAGCGCCAGCCTGACGTGCCCCAAGCAGGGCTGGAGCTGCGGGAGCCAGAGGGTTCGTCAGCCCCGGCAGGCGGGTGCGCGTTCCTGCTGCCCTCTGCTGTCGTGCTGCCCTGGCCAGACCCCGCTTTGCTCCCAAACCTCCTGCCCTCCCGGGGTGCTTGCGGCGGGGATGGCCTGGCCAAGGCATGTGGCGAAGGGATCTCAGTGACCCAGGAGAGGGAGGGCAGGAACAGGAGGAGCAGGCGATGCTTCTTGCTGCAGATGACACCACTGTTGCCTTCCCTCAAGGTCTGCAGCCAACACGGCCCTGGAGAGGACTGGAAACGGCGACAGCAAGAACAAAGCAGAGGTGAGAGCTGAGCCTGAGTGGAGGGAAGCGTGTGTCTGCCCTGCCCTGGGACGCTGCCCCAACCCGCGGGACCTGAAGGGAGGGAGGAGGAGAGGGATGGTGCGTGCAGGGCTGCAGAGTGCCCAAGCCTGTGCGCACCAGGCCGTGCCCTCGCGTGCCCAGCCATCCCCGCCATCCCCGCAGAGCTGCGGGCTCCTTGCCGTGCCGCCGGCTGTGTGCACGGGGGGTGGTTGGGACGAGACCTGCCGTTTCATTTGGCTTGTGGCTAAGAGGAGGCGCTGATGGAGCAAATCCTCCCGCAGCAGCCGAGTGCCTGGAGCAGTGACAGGGGGAGGGGGTCCTGGGCCACAGCCTCCCTGAGGCTGAAGCCAGGGTCATCTTGTCGCTGTGTGTCCTTAGGACATGGAGGCATCGCTGACACAGGGTGTGTGGGCACAGGGCTGGGGACACCGAGGGAGGGGACCCCGCCCTGGCCAAGCCCGAGGTGCTGTTTGCTGCCAGCCGTGGCTGCGGCTCGCGGTGCCAGTCCTGTGACTGAGCTCAGGCAGCCCTCCTGTATTTGGGGACTGCTCAGTTCCAAGTGTCCTGGTCTCCCCCTCGTAGGAAGCGCTTTACTCCTCGATCCCTGGAGCTGAGGTACCCAAGGCCGAACAGGGTGCAGGGAAGAAGAAGAGACCCGAGGAGACCTACATCACCATGGTGAGGAGGGGAGTGGCTGCCTCGCGCTGTGGCAGGGGTGGGCAAGGCGTGCAGCTGTAGGGCTGCTGTGACCCCCCCCATCCTGTCCTGCTCCCCATGCCAGACAGCAGCACCCCTTGCCTCCTGCCCCCTCCAAATGGGCCCTGATACCTGCGGCGGGACTCACGCCCCGTCCCTTGCTCCTTGCAGCACCCCTCTCCCTTCCGGGAGAACGGCATCTACGTGGAGCTGGCCAAGAGGGTGATCCCGGCAGAATGGATGGGAGAGGGGAGACAGGCTGAGGGACGAAGCGAGGAGCCCTGCAGCAGACCAGAGGCGGCACATCCCTGGGCTCCAGACGGGGAGCAATAGCCATGCTGGGGGCTGGAACCCCATTTCCAGCAGGTGTGTGCACGAGAGCGTTGTTCCTTGGGGCAGGCCGGCACGCCGCAGCCGTCAGCCCTTCCTCTGAGAAACGGTGTCGCTTCACCGCGTGCTCCCTCTGAGAGCTGCTGCTGGGGCACGTCCCACCCTGGCTGTCAGCCACGGGCCCAGGGGACGCGGACTCTCGTGCCCTGGTCTCTGGAGGGAGCACAGCCTCCCCGCTCCAGCTTTGATCCTGGTCCGTGCAGCTCCAGGTCCTG